TATATATATATATATATATATTAAAAAGAAGAGGTGCCGCAAAACGTTTTTTGGTTGTAATGTATTTTTATTGAGAAAAAAATATTATACTTTGTTTTGCATAATTTCACGACACGTGTTTGGTCTGGTCTCATAACTGTCTTCAGGTGAAAGTAAAATTTTACATATTATTAAAATAATTAATTTTTTTCATTTCTGATATTGAATATTCCTCGATATGATATTTTCTATTTGTGTGTTAGCAACCGAATTTTTCTTTCTAGCGGATTGCCAACTAAACAGAATGTCCTATATCGAGAATATTCCACATTAAGAAAAAATTAGCAAATATATTTACAGGACATTTTATAAAAGAAAAGATTTGAAATGTAATGAAATGTGAAAAGCTTAAAGCAACTTTAAGTTTCTGTAGTTGATTACTCACATTTGTCAAAAGCGAAAGAATACGTCTTTTCGCTATGAAAAATCACCGAGAAAGAGATCGATTATTTTAAATTTCGTATTGGCTACAATTATCATCACGGTACGGTAATTCCATGATTTCGTTTCCTGTAATTGTCATCCTGTTGCGGTAATCCAACAACATATATAGAGACTCACATTATTTCATATATATATATATATATATATATATATATATATATATATATAGCAAAAAAACAAAAATTACCTCAACATAGATATAGTCTATTTCAAGCCGTTCTGTATACGTCTATCATTAGCCTCTAAGTGTCTCTTTCGGAGCATTGTTTTAAATTTATTTTCAATGTCAGTCCTCCTCTGGTAGACGCCTTTTTAATGAGAGTGGGTTTGTGTTAGCGATTGGTGGGGGCTTATCCCGCGGGAAGCGGTCTTGGGTTGGAGTTTATAGCCAGAACTTGTTGTTTATAGTTTAATATCGGTTTTTACTATGAGGTGTTTCTCATAAAAGTCCCGAAATGTGTATTTTTTTCTGCAATTCACACTAAATAGTTTTTGTACTACAGGTGTCCAATATTATTAATAAGCGATGGGGGGTTTAAACTGAAGCCCGTTAAGATTAGTGTAAATTAGATGAGTTATAGATTTATAGATTGTGGGTATAAACATGTATCCAAAAGGCGATCTTTGTACCTCAACACAGCAACTCATAACTGTTATGGGACCTTACCCATATTAACATAATGGACTATTCCATACGTAATAAATACTGCGCCTCAAAAGGAAGCAGGGAATTCAGAGTTCAGTCTGAAGTCTGAAGTGAAGTCCGTCAGAAGGAGTCTTTCAGTCAGTCAGAGCGAGCGAGTCAGTCAGTCGAGTCAGAGGCAGCCCGAAACAGAGTCGTGTTCAGACAATTACTACTAAACCTGATTGTTCGTACTAACACTTTCTACTTCTCTGTATATATTCCTGTTTGTAATATATCTGTGTTATTCCATATCCGTATTCGAGTTCTTCTTTATTGGTTCTACCTTGGACGATCACCGTGGTACAAGGAACCACAACAATAACAAATGTTCAAAATGTCCTCCGCTTGCTTCTACACACGCATGCACCCGTCGGATCATTGACCGGCGGATCCTTTCAAATACTCTCATACGGTGTTGAATGGTTTAGCTGGTCCCCATGACACGTTGATTAAGCGTTATTAATGCCTGCTGCATAAACCAATTTTTTGAGGTGACCCCATAGATAAAAATCCAAAGTATTGCGGTCGGGGTAATGCGCAGGTCATGGAACTGGTCTCTCCCAACCTATCCATTTTCCACGTTAGATATCAGCCAGTACATCGCGAACAATGTGTCTAAAATGTGCTGGAACCCCATCATGCATGAACCACATGCGTTTTCGTATAAGCAGGGATACATCCTCTAGCATGTCTGGAAGTATGTTCTAACCAATGCCCCTGTAGACAGCTCCTGTAAGACGAACTAGGTGAACATATAGACCTACCAAATAGTCACCTACAAATCCAGCCCACACATTAATGAGAAACTGATGTTAATGTCTGACCTGTATTTTACCATGAGTATTCCGATCCGCCACCAAAATCTTTTTTGTGTAAATTTCTTATTCCATCTCTTCCAAACATTGCCGGATTCGTAAACAAGACCGAAGAGACAAACAGTGGATCGGACGTTAGGGTCAATAAACCATCGGCAAAGTTCTCCCGTGGTGAGTGATCAGATGGTGAAAGATGCTACACACATTACAAATGATACAGATACAGGAGCTGCTCTTAAAACATTCACCATACGGTACTATGAGATGTACAACATGCTGATACATGGATCGTCCCCGACAGCCTGTAGAATGTGGTCAAGTGTACAAGCTGATTTTGGTCTTCCTCAATCCATAGTGTGTGGTGCCTGGAAACGCAATCTGATACAGCCGTGCAGCCTCCTATCCATTACCATTCGCGCGGCCGTGTGTAAAAATCATATCTGCCTACTCACGATGTGAATATCCTGCCATTGTTAAACGGAACAATTCTCAGTTAACACATTACTACACACGTTAAACGTTAAAGACCACAAATGTACACGACTGACAAATGTAACATAGTTTCCATAACAGCATCTACTGTAAACTTTCTAAACTTAATAACTCAAAAACGAAGGATTTGTGGATATATGTTTATATGGACATTTGTACATGTTTGGGTTTGAGGAATCCGCTCCCAATGTTTGTAAAAATTATTTTTGTACACCCTGTATATATAGTTTGATATTATTTCTTCATATATATATATATATATATATATATATATATATAGTTTTATATTTATGGTTATATATATATATATATATATATATATATATATACACTTTAAAAATTAGAGGATCATTTTATTTCGCTACATTGGTTTCTTACTTACGGTATGCTCAGGCGATTTTTATCAGCTGACCTCACAACGCTTTTTTTTTAAATCAACGCTATTATTTTTAAAAATAAATAAACAAACTCACGGCGTTGTGTGTGATAGAAACGGAGGACGAGAATGCGAATAAGGAAAGAGAAGACGATGTAGGAGTAGAAAAGCAAGGATATTAGAAATGTAGTGGGGAGGTACATATTTCTTTAACCGGACTCATATGTGCTCGATAGGATTTTTAAAAAATTTTTCACACGTGTAATGAGCACTTTATATATATATATATATATATATATATATATATATATATATATATATATATTAGTTATTCTCTCTCTATATATATGGTTTCATATTTATTTTTGTTATGTATGTTTTATATTTATTATTATAAATATATAGAGTTTTATATTTATTACTGTATATGTATATAGTTTTATATTATTTATTATTGTATATTTATTTTTAAATTATTTATTATATATATATATATTTTTTATTTTATTTATATATATATAATTTTATATCATTATTGTATATATACTGTTTTATATTATATATATTTTTATATTATTATATATGTATAGTTTTATATTATTTATGTATATATATATAGTTTTATATTATAATACGTGTGTGTGCGTTTCTATATATATATATATATGTGTGTGTGTGTGTGTGTGTGTGTGTGTGTGTGTGTGTAACTTTTACCATTCCACACGAACGATACCGGTTTAAACATTATAGGCTTGATTCTGACATATTGCCTCCCGGCCAACAGCAATCTAGAAAACTGAAGACTTCATCGACATGTTAAATACATTGGAAATGTTTAATAGACTTCTGGTTAATTCTATGATCAAACGAATTAAATAAGCAGAGAAATTTTCGTGTAATAAGAATTACTTTATTTATTTATTTAGATTTCACTCACTTTACATTGATCATTTGCTCGAACAACAAAATATTCAATCGGTATGACGGAAAATACAGAATCCTAGAATTTCAGTGTGTATATATATATATATATATATATATATATATGAAGAAAAAAATAGAAAAAACAAACAACAATCTTAGTATGCATTATGTTGTATTAATAATATAAAATCATCGTCGGTTTCATTTTAGTCCATCATCAGGACATATTTATAAAAACATAATTAATATTAAACATATAAAATTCAACATGAAAAGACGATGGACATAAGAGCACAACTAATCCAAACAGATAACTGAAATTTTGATATATGTTCTAATGTTAATTATGTTTTTATGAATATGTCCTGATGATGGTATAAAAGACCGAAACGTCCGACGTTGACTTTATATTAACATTAATACAGCATAATTGCATATTAAGATTTTTGTTTGTTTTTTTCGTATATTTTTCTTCATACTGTCGGATCTATATCCATATATTTGCTTATATATATATATATATATATATATATATATATATATATATATATATATATATATATATATATATATATATATGCATGTGTGTGTATTATTAATAATAACAGCTATGATATAAGTAAAATTATATAAATTTTGTTAAGGAAATGCTCAAAATACATCTCGAGAAATAATTATTGCATCAAAAATATGAAAAGTTCAGTATATTAACGAATACTGACATTCATGAAGTTTTGATACTCAAGGAACAGATATGATTTATATTTGTATACTTACGAGCTAAACTAGGTGAAACTTAAAGTCGGTTTTCGAGAATATCCTGAAATTTAATATGGTTGATACAAGAAATAGAAATGATACAAACGCCGGTTTCATTTTTACACCGAGAAAATCTGAAGATAAAGAATCGTTTACCTTTGCATTCATTTTTTTCTTTTTCCTTTTCGATGTCCAATATGTCGTGGAATTTATATCTTTTTTCCGAATTAACCTACAACTCTTTCAATGTGGGATATTTGAAAACAATATCTATAAAAGTAAAAACAAAAACGGAGAATGCTAAATAAGGTCGACACCCTATCGAAAGATAGATGTCGACCTTATTTATCGTGAGTTAGATGTCGACTTTATTTATGGTGAGATAGATTGCTAGAGAGATATTGACCTTATTTATTGATTGACAGATGTTGAGCTTTTTTTATCGATACATCAATAGAAGTCGGCATTATTTATCGATAGATAAATGTCGACCTTCTTTATTGATAGATACGTAAATGTCGACCACTTTTATCGATAGGTATACATGGAGCTTTTTGTAGATAGATAAATCTATCGATAGATAGATAGATGTCGACCTTATTTGTTGATAGATAGATATAGATCTTATCTATCGATAAATCTATCTATCAATAAAAAAGGTCGACTTCTATCGTTCTGTGCATCTATCAATAAATAAGGCCGACATCTATCTAGCTAACTAGCTATTGTTATCAACAATATGATAATTGTAGGATACTTATTGAAGACCGTCTAAAACTTTTATGAGGTTTAGATTGTTAAGATCGGAAGCTCGTGAAACTTGAAGTCGGTCTCCGATAACTATCCGGAACTTTTCATACTTTTCATGTTATAATTATCGCTCCAGATATCATTTGCACATTTCAATGACCAAATTTCTGTTCTCCTTAACATAAGGTAAATTATATAATTTTTAAGTACATCAATAGTTGTTATGATTATTAATATTTCTCTATATAAAGACACAACACAATTTATATATATATATATATATATATATATATATATATATATATCATGGCTTGGTTTCGCAAAACGAAGATGAAGAGGGAGTCTGTACACGTCTGTTGCAGGCACGTTCTAATAATGCCAATGCAGGTCAGGCATACACGATCGTAGCAGTTGCAGGTGAAAGTTCGGCCTGGGCTCGATGGCATAGCGTTACAGCAATTCCTCCTCTGATTCTTGCCCCTGAAAGCGGCCCTGCAGGTAGTTTCAAAGATGAAGACAGCATGGTTGGTGGTGAGACAACAGGCGTCACGGTTCTCAGCTAGGTTTGACCATTGATGTGACAGACACCAAAGGATTTTTCAGGTAATCTTGGAATTGCTTCTTTGGTGCCCCCTTTTCACGATAGCCAGTGGAGAGATCGCCGTACAATGAAATATTAGGAATGCGATGATTCTCCATCCTGGAAACGTGTCCACCCCAGCGTAGATGGGACTTCAGCAGCATGGCCTCACTTGCTTGTGATCTTCCTTAACCAAAATCTTCAAAACTGGTGACAAAGTTACTCCGGTGGATGTTAAAGATTGTGAAGAATTAGGACTGGTAGAATATATATATATATATATATATATATATATATATATATATATATATATATATATATATATATATAATTAATGAAAAAACAGACCACTTTAAGGTACCATTACAATAATTTATTTCACCAAAATCCTTTTTAAAGGACTCCGGATCATCAGGTAATAATTCCAACAACGAATAAAAAAATATAATATATATATATATATCGTATTTTAATTTATTAATTTTATGATATATATATATATATATATATATATATATATATATATATATATATATATATATATATATATATATATATAATTTTGATGGATGGATCATTTGACTCATTATTGTTGTTAAAATGTTTAAATAAATTGAATTTTCATTTTGAATTTGAATTTAGGCCCGGATTAGCATGTAAGATTGAAAATAAGTTTGAAAGTAAGTATTACACATTATAATTTGAAGAGACGCTGTTGTAATCAAGAGGAATGTATAAGAAAAAAGCGTTTGAAAATCGGGGCGGGGGGTATTTATTTCATGAAAATCAATAAAATAATTAATATTATTAATATTGATATTGATATTGATAATAATATTAATGAACTAAATAAGTGTAGTGATATCAATAATAATAAAATATGCCGTGAAAAAATAAAAATTAAAGTACTAATAAAATAATACATATCAGTGAAAACAAAATAAGATAAAATAATATAGAAACATGAATATGTAAATAAACAGAACAAATAAATTAATATATAAAAAAAATAAGTAAAAATAAAAAATAAATAAACACTTTATTAAATTTAAGAAAAATAGACAAAGCATATAATTAAAATAAAATAAAAACATATAAATATGTAAATATATAAAGCAAATAAATAAATGAAATAAATAAATAAAAATAACAAATGCAAATTACAATTAAATTAATAATAAGACTAAAGATAGGAGAAAAATACAAAAAGATAAAATAAATGATAGCAATAAGATAATGGAAATAATGGATTAGCAAAAAAAGTGAAAATCGTTACAGTCTAATATTAATAGATAAAATAGTTGTATAATAAATGTAGCAAAGTGGAAAAATATTAATAAAAATAAATAATGTTGATACTATTATATGTGCTCACGGATCCGGCTAAACTATACTAGTCTGGATCAACGTGTTTGAGTAGAAATTTGATTTTATGTGGACAGATACTCATTAACTCACTTCTTTTGTTTAAGAGATTAAGATTGTTTATATTTTTCATGATTATTAAATCTCACAAAGACTTAAGGTACATCTATTGCCATTCCCGCTGAAGGATTTAGTTTTCGTTACTGGTCTTCAGGCGATAATTCGGTTTTATTCTCGCTTTCCAATTTCCAGAAAATTTTAGAGAAGGCAATGCTGGTACTATATTTGATAATTCCTAATTTAATTTGGTGGTGATAGAATCGCGATTTCTAATGGTTCTCCGTAGAGCCCGTGAAAATTTGGCCTCGTTTTTATATTTAATTTCAGCTTTATAAACTAACGATTTAGACATACATTTGCTGTTTAATGGGCA